AAATATTAATAATTACACATCTTCTTTATAATTAGCTACATAGGTATATCATATATAAGAAACAAATGAATCCATATCCTCTCAAATCACAGAATTCCAATGGATCTTGGGTGACATTTACATGAAATATTTTCATTGTTTATATACAGTTTCTGAGATACATTCAGTACTAATTCATTAGGCTAAAACTTATCCTAAACCTTCTGAAAAAGTTTAGGTAAAATATTGTGTATTGGAACAAGAAATATTAACAGAGGTAGGATCTCTTAATTAAAACATTACAAATAATAGTAATAACAATCACGACAGTTGTGCATGAAAGTTTTCTTCCCATTTCTTATTTTGAACATATAACTAGTGATTATTTCTAGGTTTATTTTCTACTGAGATTACCTTGCTGATAATAGGAATTACCAAGATAAATGTTGAAATTTCATCCTGTTGTAGACTTTGAATGTATCAATGAATTATTAAGATTCTTACAGTTAGAGTCAGGCATCTGCAAAACAGTAAAGTGTGGATGTGGAAAACTTTATTTGGCACTCTCCTACATGTCTTTTGCAGTGACCTCACCCAAGCTTCTGCCTTGTGGTTCACCTCTGCTGAGTCTTAGTAGGTATGGTGCTAACAACTGGTGTTTATTAAACAAAAACCTGTCATCTCTGGGTTTTTTGTATTGCTATATGGGCCATAAAACAATGATAGTAGAATGAAATAAAGCTCATAAAATATGCCACTGTGTTTCAAATGAAATAGTTATTAACTTAAAGGAATAAAAGTTGCATGTATGGGTCAGGGATAGTTTTAATTCAATATGCTTTTCCTGTAATGATACACCAATGTGTTTTGCCAGTGCTAATGTAACCCATTACATAATCTTTTTTCTTCTGAATCACAGTAATTTTCTAATATTAATAGACATCTGTATTTAATTTCATATGTATGAATTAAGACAAGTAACAGGAACTTTATTTTTTAAATAAAACAAAAACTTTTGCAGATTAAGGAAACTTAGCGACCAAGAGATAGTGTTTCATTAGCTCAGAAAATGAATGCTTACCACTATGTGCTAACAGTGAACCGTCCTTTTGAAATCTCTTTTAATATGTATTTTTGTCTAACAAATCATTTTTTTGACACTGAGTCACTAATAGGTACTGCTTTATACTGTTGAACAAAACCTCTGTCTCTTTTACTTGCATTCCAATATTTAAAGGTAAAACTGAAATGTCCGTTGACCAGTAACTACATTTAAATAATAATTTGATGACCTGGAATCAACTGAAATGATAACATCACCCGGTTAGAAAACTTGTGGAATTTAGGTTGCATCCAATGCACAGTACGTACTGCATTGCAAGCATACAATAAATATTTGCTGACTGAATAAATTAATTAATAAAAAGCCCCAAGTATTTTGCTATGGTAAATGATTTTTTAAAACTATAAAATACTCTATAAATAAAGGTATTCTTTCATGGTCAGCTATAGATCTGCTTACTGATCAACCTACTTAATCATTCAAAATGGCAATATAGATGAATAAAACATCTGGCCAAATAACTGAACTTACTAAATATTTCAGGGTGAGTTAATTGGAGTTCATTTTTTGGGTCCAATCATTATATTAGTGTTTTATTAATAGCATCTAATTTTTAGTGATTATTGCTTTATTCTCCCTGGAAATACCTAGTAGCATACTATCGTGAAATAAAACAGTCTTAGGAACACAGCATAATACATAGCACATTAAAAATCTATTCACATAAAATTATTCAATAATTCACAGTTTGTTAAAAATAATATGAAACATTTCAAAAGTTTCTGGTAACCGTCTTCAGTTTGCATTTCCAGGCTTTCCTGAGGAGCTCGCAGCAGACCCAGAACGGCTCACCCTGCCGACAGCCTCCTCCCAGGAACGGCGAGAAAATCGGAGTCAGATGGCGGAGTCAGCGCACTGCTCCCCTCGCCAGCCTGTGGACGGCTGCTGTTCCACACCATCTTCTCTGTTTACATGTAGGCTACATTGTTTGGCTCAGCAAAAGAGTGAAGTGAAGCAACTTGATCCGCAGATGCTGCTCTGCAGTGCACTTGTGCGCTCGCTGGGCAGAGCTTCTGGGAGGAGCTGGCTGCCCCCTGCACCCCTGAGGTGGCCTCTGCAGCCCCCACATGGACTCACCTTCACTGTCCTGTGTTACCCCTCCAACAAAACCTCTGGCTTTTGCTTAGGAATGTTATGACTCTCTCCTAAAGATTTGAGGTTATTTCGCAAATTTAAGAAATAATTTTGGAAAGCAGATACCTGTAACCTTAGGTATCTACCTTCATTATAGCTGTACTTCCTATTAGAAGATTTTGTTTCAAGGAGAAAATACAACACAAAGAGAAATTGAAATGCATAGAATTTTCTAGAACAAGATATGTTTACAAATGCTTCAAATTTCCACTCTCAACTAGTTTCTTTCGAAAAATCTGGAAAAAAAGAAATTGGTCAATTGGACATGGATTGCTTATGCATCCATGAACTAATCGTGTCATATTTTAATGAAAAAAAGAGAAATCTGACAGAAAGAATGGCAGCGGAGAAACGATTCTTGCATGGATTTCATTGTCTCAGTTCCTTACCAGAAAGTCATTTTTATGAATATTTATCCAAGCAAGCAAGCACACACTGTGGAAGTGGACTTTTATGGAGACTCTTCTAGTGAATTCATCTTTAGGAGCTGTTTTTGTGACAACCTGAGTCTTCCTCCTGTTCTCATTTCTCTTTTCCTGCAATGCTTATTCAATATATAGAATTCCTTATAGAATTTTAAAACACATGCTTAGAAATTTAAGATGTTCGTACGGTGCAGTTACAGCTACTTTATCTTTCAACTTATTCTCACATATGTAGATATGGTGCTACTGATACCGTGCTACTGGTATGGTGCTACTGGTATTGTGTCTACCAAATGAAGGAGTAAAAGAGGAAAAGTATACTTACTTTTTAATTGCAAATGATTTTTCAGCTGGAGCCTCCATTTCCCCATTATTCTTGGGAGATTTTCCTTTATTTTTCTCTAATTATCATGTTGGTCTTGTTGAAAAATAAGTCTGCCACTTCTAGAGTGAGTTGAAAAGAAGATGGTGGGCAAATGGATACTAAAGCTTCCAATTAAGAATACTCGTAACTGATTTCCAGTATACAAAATAGACTATATGCCTGGGTAAGCAATTAAACTAGAATTACAATAACTAATATTATAAACCATACTATGAGAAATGAGTTTTTGAGACTCCTGAAACAGCCTCATTTTTATATTTCACCTGTAACTTAGAAAAACAGTTACCACTTATGATGGCAAGAAATGTTTCTTCATCTAGGGTGGCCTTTTTTTTTTTTCGGTAATTCAATGATTTGCTGTAGGACATAAGGTAAATTTATAACTTTGATCAGTTTAAAATACAGAGAAAAAACTGTAGCCTACTTTCCCTGGAACATGTTTTATAAATGTAGAGAAGAAGAATTTGTTTGGAAGAATTTGAATCTGTACTGTTGAACAAAAAGTGTCAGTTTGGTTTGGATATTAAACATCATTTCAAGGATTTTAACATTTTAAACTGTTTCTGGCCTCTCTTAACTTACAGTCAGTACTGCTGCTGTTCTTTCTGATACCATTTTGTAGCATTCTTTTATGCATGTCGCCATTTGGGTCTGCTACAGTGGCAACCTGAATGGCTCTTACTAAAGGATTTTCAAGAAGGCGAGTGTTAAACAGCAGCATTGCTTTAGCGCAGTCTTTGTACAAGAAACACGATGGATATAATAAGAGTCTGCGAACTCTTTTTAGACACTCAAATTTCAGTATCTTACATTACCAGTAAACTGGAGATTGTGAGAAATATGAATTTGCTTTATACATTCAGATAAAATACATACAAAGAAATTCTACACGAAGCCAGGCACCTGTAGGTAAAGGAAAAGCATTAAAATTTCATAACAGTCTAGAATGTGCTCGATAAATTTACATTGGTACCAGAATGCTGGGCCAGACAATAAATGTACTGTGACCTCTAAGGTTAAGTGAGTGCTTGTAAGGAAAATTACAGCTGCGCACAAACAGTGTAGACTTTTAGATTTTAAAGGCATTAAACATTAAGGATAAACACATACTTTGCTAATTTCCTCAAATTAAGTATGGTATCTTGGGAAGGTGCGCACTTTCCATATTTTACCTATTAAATTTTAGAAACTCAAATTTCAATCAGCATACAGTCATGAAGTGGACTTGATTCTCAGCCTGATTTGTGTTTATGCACATGGGTTAAAACAAATGAAAGTCCAATGTACATTTTATAGAAAATATCTTATTTTTCATTCTCTCTCTGTTTCGAGTAAAATGACCAAAGTTAAGAATCATGAAGTTTCTTCTTAGAATATTTGGATTTCAACGTATTGACTTAATAAGAAATATAAGAATATACTTTTCTGTTTGAAATTCTGATAGTGGAAAGAAACTGAAAGCCAGGTTATTTAAACACCATTATTGAATTATTATAGCTACTATTTTGGGAGCTACAATATATTTCCTAGTGATCAATTTTCTTTTATTTGAAAAAGATCTCACTGTCATTAAGAAATTAACCACAATTTTCAACTTGTTCTTTTTATTTTTTAAGAAGTGAGCTGTAAGCATTTAGAAAAAAGCAGAAGTCGTCTCAGATACTGAATGGAGACATTTTATGTTAACTTTGCCACAACCAGAGGCTTAATACACAAGTCTATTAAATATGTGCCATTAAAGAAAGAGATCTTAAAAAGCACAGTGTTCAATCCGATCCTGGAAAGCTGGTTTCCCTGAAACTTGTATGCCCCACACACCACTGTCTGTGTTAGACGCACAGTGATAAAATTGTGAACATGGAGGTTTTCCTGGTAGCAAAAGGGTTAAGTTCTTTTTGCTTTACCAGTTTCAAATTACAATGAGAAGCCTCTTCTTTCCCAGCAGGGTTGTGCTTACATTACTCTTTAGATCTCTCTTGAAGAGGGCTGGTATATTTGTGCCTGCTGGAGGTGGAATTAACAGTAAGAAGGAGAAAGGGATTGAATGGATTTACAGGAGAGATTTCAAGTAAACTCAGGGAAACACATTTACATGACTAGTACAACCCTGAGTCTTACTTTACACTAAGCCTGTACAAAAGATGGTAAAGTTATCACCAAGCTGCGGACAAATATATATTCTAACACCAAGGTGCAGATCTGCATAGATGTGTGATTCAGAAATCAGCATTTGTCTTGGGAAGAGCACTTGAGAAGACTCAAGAACAAGTGAAGATACCTTGGGAGCTGCAGCTTATCAGAAGATCAGCTTCGTTAATTCCGACACCACAGGCCTGGTTGTCATAAATTCATACAGGAATGCATAGGTCATCCGATCAAATCATATTAGCAGTCTTCTGCTCCATCAGTGCAAGAAAAGCTCTTAACAACTGTGGATAACTGGAAATCTGAGTTTCAGCTTTCTTAGAAATAACTACTCTTGACACATTCCAAAATATTTAAAATAGGGCAGGAAAATCAGGGGGGATATTGTGTTCAGAAATGTCACTGTCATGAAGAATAGGTAAATTTGTTTTTACAGCTACCGGGAAAGTATACCTCCTAGGAATTTCAGATATTTTTAAAAGTGGACAAGAAAGACTAAAAATACCAACTTCTGCTCTTGGACAAAAATGCCTCTGACTGTGCTTTTCCTGAGGGGTGTTGTGGGTTTCCTCGGGAGCTGCTGGGCGCTGGTGGGCTCTGCAGCAGGAGGTTTGGGAGATGATCACGTTCATTCCAGTTTTATTTATAGAAGACTACGGAACCACGAAAGACGGGAAATCCAGAGGGAAATCCTCTCTATTTTGGGTCTGCCTCACAGACCCAGACCTTTTTCACCTGGAAAACAAGCGTCCTCTGCACCTCTCTTCATGCTGGACCTGTACAACGCCATGGCCAACGAGGAAAACCCCGAAGAGTCGCAGTACTCAGTGAGGGCATCCCTGGCAGCAGAGGCCAGCGGGCCACGGAAAGGGCACGGGGCCTCTCCCAGTGGGTACCCACGGCGCACGCAGCTGTCTCGAGCCACGCCGCTGACCACCCAAAGTCCTCCCCTGGCCAGCCTACACGATACCAACTTTCTGAACGACGCTGACATGGTCATGAGCTTTGTCAACTTAGGTATGTGGCTCATTTACTTTTTAACCTGTGCTATTGTACAGTGGGAGCTTTCCTAATGGTAAAGCAGCTGCTGAGTAGGTGGTCATATTCACATGCAGTCATTTTATGTAACTCTCCTCTCTGGCTTCTGTTTCCGTTATTTCATTGATCTAATAGAACCCTGTTAAAGCCAATAAAGCCATATATACGTTAAATATGAAAAGCTGAACTTAAGTAGTTAATGATTTTGATAGATTTAGGTCTTTTCAGAGCTTGTTAAAATTTCAGCTTACCTTAAATAGATGGATCAAAAAGCACTAGTCTAAAAAGAAAATTTTGGGGGCAGACAGTAATGTTTTGGGCAAGAAAAAGCATGCAGTTACATATGGGAAAATTAAAGCAACATTTTAAAGCATCTTTTGTTAATAATTTATGGAACACATTACTGTAAAAATATTGATATGAGTTTAACAAAGATCAGATACTACTGTAAAATATGACTATCAAAGAAACTAGAATGGGCTTATGCAATTCCAAGAAAAATACTTTAGAAAAGAGGTTTCAGTCTAACATTTCTTAAGCGTGATGACAAAAATATATCATACCTACTTGATTTCTTTCCCATAGGCAAAGGAAATGCACGGCCTGCCCCAAGGGTCTTTACCCACACAAAATTTTCCTTTTACTTGAGATAAAATAATTAAGAATTTCTGTAGCTTGCAATAATATTAGCACATAATTTTTAAAAATTATGTTTTACTCAATGTTTGCAAGTTACAGCATTTTTCAATAGTGACAATATCAGATGTTCTCACACTAATAATAGATAATCAATTTAAAAATGGATTTGGACATTAAAAAGAAAATGAATTTGAGTGTACCTTATTTTTGAAAACTGAAGATTAATGAACAAATTTAATCAACTGGATGGTTAGAGACTTTTAATATTAATGAAAGAACTTTTGAAACTTTATTTTAAAATTGCAATCTGCTTTGACTTAAAATCAACGTGCTTTACTATACACTTAATTAAAAACTTCCGCATATTTCTCAAAGGAAATATACTTTGAAAAGTCAGACTGCAACAAATCTTCATGACACGTGGATGTTTTTATAATATATGCGGCTTAATATGCTCTGCTCATTTGCTCTTAGCAATCTTAGCATGAAGGATAAGGTGCTTAATAAATCATATGTTTTATGTTATGAGAGACAAAGCTCTCATTATTAAGTTTTAGTAAGTCATCAGTTTTTGCACTAATCAGGTGCTCTGGAGGCCTCTATTTCTGTATATAATTAGTAGGTTTCATTTGGAACTTTTACATATAGCTTAATTTCAAATTAGTTTGAGTGTTTTTTCCTGGTGCACAGGGTATGAAAAGGTGGGTCATGGTAATTTTACTCTGTAACATCTCTAAAGTACTGTTGAAGAATTTAAATTAGCATCAATTTTCTGATAGAATCTGTGCAGGTCACTTAAAATCTAACAGAAAAATGTGTTATATACCTTAGAAAACAACAGTTACCAGGAATTGTGAGTTTTAATTCACATGCCATTATTTTTTATAAATTTATATAGAACAAAAAGTCAAAATAATAATAAACAATTTTATCTAGTGATTTACGTAAGTTTTTTAACATTAAGGAATGTTTTTGTTTTTTATATGGATGAAATTTTCATTTTATTATTTTATTATGTACCTGCCTGCTTCCCAAAAGTGTATATTTTAATGTATAATACATTATATATTTTATAATAATAGTAGTTTATAACTATATTACCTATATCAAGAAATATAATTAGTCATTTGTTTTCTGGAGAAGTATTAATTGGATATAAACGTTAGAAAACTATTTTTATCATGCTGGCACTACAGAACAGTGATTTATTCACAGTGACAAACTATATCCTTTTTTAATAATTCCAAATAAAACATCTCATTAGAAGTTACTACAACTGATTATGATGGGAGATGAGCTTCTTCTAATAGTCTTGACGGAAAAGTGGACCACAATTTTATTATCTGTAGAACATGCCTGCTTAAATATCCAAACCTTACAGTCAATCCCTGTTTGGTCAAAAGTTTTAACTTCTGTATACCCTACTTAGAAAAAGAAAAGAAAAAGAAAAATCAAACCATAACAGGAAAGGTAAAGTAAGATTATGAACCGAGAATTTCACTTCTTTATAATAAAACATTCATTAACAAATCTTACACTCAGGAGAATTTTATTATTTTAGTATCTTTGAAGATGTTTATGTCAGTGGAGAGTAAGTGCAAATGAGTCCTCTAGCAGTAACAAGGGATTTGTCCTGAGGAAGTCACCTGGGTAAAATAACAATGTGGAAAGAATCTGCTGACATTTCTCATAATAAGGTGAATTATATAGAAAGAATCCACTGAAAACTTTTTAAAAAATGCTTGCATGTTGTGCTCTGCACTTGTCATTCAGAAAAACATTTGTTCATCAAGCACAATTCAACTGCAAATCCAAACTTAGAATTGTATTTAACAAAATATCTATTTTTAAAATCTAAGTGGGATTAATACATACAATAAAATGTGAACAAGTCAAATGAAAGGATGCAGATGTCTATATTAAAATTATACACATTATTTTTTCCTTTATGTTATTTTAGAAAGTTTTTGACTTTGAAGAAACAAATGTGATTAATTATGTACAGGAAAGCTTCTCCTTTCTCCAGGAATATGCGGTGCTCCTAGGCTAGATCTTGTCATTCTCATAGTGGGAGAACTTACAAGTTAAATTTTCTGAATATTTTTTCCAAAATGATTTAGTATCAGTGGAAATTTGTTTAATTGATACCATTTAATATGTGATAACAAAAATATCTTTTCCTTTACTGTTTTAACGTTTCTTTTTAAAGTGCTAATAGTATACACATTAAATACCTACACAAATTAAAGTAGTAATTAGATTATTTGTTTTCAATATTGAAGTACATTTTCTACTTACATAGATATAGTGTATTTCTAAGATTTTTAAATATTAAAAGCCAATTTTCATTTGATTAACTAATGCCTACGGCTAAATGGCATAACCTTTCAGATGCTTTGGAGAAATTACAAAAGGCCAGTAAAACACAAAGTTTCATTTTGCATTATTCTTTTCCTAAAGTTTTCCTGAAAAAGTTGAACTTTGAGTTTATCAATGTTTTTGATTTCACTGATTAGTTGACTTGGAGTCAATTTCTTTTTAGATATATTTCAATAATATATATTCTCAAGTGTAAAAGTATATAAATATAATGCTTAATTTTTTATGTTTATAGCAACATATTTAGTGTGTTAGGAAAGAAAAAATGCTTCCAATTTTTTTAAATTAAGCCCTCCTCCAAATCACTAAAGCTTTCTCATAATTGGAATGAAACAAACAAACAAAAATAAAACTCTTACATACTCAACTGACAGATTTGAAGAACATACTGGTATTTATTGTTGCTTTTGGCTAACTATAGAGCCCAGAGTAAAAGAATTTATATACAGATCTATGCAAAGATGTCTATCTATGTAACCTCTCCAATAGTTATTAACACTTGTGCAACATAAATACCCCCATGAACACATGCCCCATTTTTCATACTGGGGGGATGGGATAAGAAGATAGGTAGGTGATTTAAGACTGTCCTAGCACATACTTTTGGTCATGTGCAGGGTAATAAATACTAGTATTGGCTAAGATGTAAATCAGTCTTTAAAACGTGTATCTTTTGAAGAGAATGACATGGCTAAGAGTGGAGAACTTTTTCTCTCTTCCTAAATGAAGGTTTCAGAAACATAACCAAGAGGAAGGTTGTTCTCCTCAGAGCTATTTGATTGTCAGACGACTGTCAGGGCTGCCAGAGATAAACAGAATCATAATTTCGTTAACATTTTTATTTGAAAGTTTTAATGATGACTCACAAATAGCCAGTTTCAAAGGTTTAATTAGCAGTAACAGCCAGGCTGAAAGGTCTTGGGACTGCCTCAACAGCTCTAGCTCCTTTCCTCACATTCTTCTGTCTGCTGTGACTGCATTTCCCTGCCTACATTCCCTGCCCACCCTGACATGCTTTGTCTTTTCCTCTTTGGTTCTGTGACTCCTGCAGCCCCAGGCTCTCTGGCAGTCCCTCCCTCTGCTAGTCTCAGCCTTCCAGGGGTCTTCCTTTGGTCCTAGTTTCTTCATAGCTAGAGGCTTAGATTAGTTGAAAATCAATTAGTTCCAGTTTGGAAGCTTAGGTGCAGTCTCCTGTTTGCTTTAGATGAGAAGGAAAAATTTAGGAGTTGCCAAGAGGGAAGTTCCCAGGGTTGGAACCACATCTCTTCTGCCAGCCTGTCTCCCTTCTCCGTGGTCCCAGTTCTTGGCCCCCTCATCCTGCCCTGAGGCGACCACAGACACAATTCAATTGTTTTTTACCTTTAGTATTTTACAAAAGAAATTAAATTTAAAAGGCAAATTTAAAGGAAAGCGAAAGGAAGAAAGAACACAGTATTAACAAGAATAACACTAATAAAACATTCAATTTCCATTTAGCTTATAAAGAGCGCTTATGTTTTTTACATATTCATATCTGTTCACTGAAAAAATTATTTTCTTTTGTAAGTTCACAAGAGATGCTAACAGAGTAAGAAGCTCTAGAGGAATAACTGGCGGAAAAGGATGATGAGGATGAGACACAGGAAGAAATAAAATTGTTTTTAAAAAGTCCTTTAAGCAAAAGGAAGGCATGAAATGAGTCATTAAAGACCAGTCTTTGATTTGTGCAGGTGGAGACCGGGTTGGGAAATCCTCAGTCTACCTCACACTGACAGAGCAGCTAATTCAACCTCCAGCAACCTCAGCTCCAGGGGAAACTCTTTCATCCTAGACACTAAAATACCAAGGAGGGGAAATGAGGGGTCCTCTGTGTGTACAAGGATCATACAAATGGGCTACTCACATCTATAGTCATAAATAACGTAGTAGCTCAGCTTAAAAAACCACAGGTTAAAGGAAGAGGCTTCCCTGACGCGGGGAGA